TGATTTTATTAGATGAATATCTGAAGGTTTTGGTAATTCCGTATCGCATCGCGTCTTGCATTCATAAGGCTTGTTTTTGACTATTTTACGTACAGTTGAGAAAGAAATTCCGGTCAAATGTGATGTTGCTTATGATAGTTTGTTCCCCTCGAAACTGGAAAAAGTCTACGTTATTATCACTCTCATTATTACTATTAGTACTTGTCCAAGGACGCCACATTTTAAACAGATAACAAAAATTTTAAGTAATTTTAACTGCACCAATATCGAATTTCAACAATCAAATCGCGATCAGTTCCTGAACTGAACAACACAACGGCGATACTCATCAAAACATGACTTCAAATTTAATTTTATGACTCTTCAGCCGATCATAAAACTCGGTTAGTAAAAATTATCCAATACGTACCGCCAATTCTAAAGTCCACGTGGACTAGTTGGCAGCGGCATTATTTCTCTGTATTGGTTTTTTTGACCTTTGAGATGCCGATAGCTTTAACTATTCACAATACAGATTACTTCGACTATACCCGCGGCTTCGTGACAGACCATTTTAAACAAATAGTTATGATATTTTTTCATTAACCCAAAACTTCAGATTTTGAACTTCAGAACTGACGAAATTCAATACAATCTTTGAACCAATATTTTTCTCCTTGTGGGTGGAAGTTCCTGATTCCCTTTCTTGATGCTTATTTACGCTACACAAGGAAGCAGGATTTCCTTCCGCTTCTTTCATATCTGCCTTCAACTTTTGTCTGGCAGTTTCAGCTCCTTGCAGATGCTTCTCGTGTGCTTCTTTCGTGTTTTGTTGGCTTTTAGATGCCTTAAATCTATCGCATACGCTACATATGTCTTTTACCAAGTATAAACTTTGTGTTGTGGCTCTACAGCAATGGGACTTGTACATTGGAAATTTTTCAATATGTGTTATTACGGTTTCGACAACAGCATTTGTCAATTTGTTTTTTCCCCCTGTTGCCCATCTCTCCTATCTCTGATGATTCCATCTCTCAATTTTGATACAGCATTGTTGATTCTCTTGGAAGAAATCCTCAAGGCTTTTTTTTTAAAAGGTTTTGCGCACAGTCTGGGTTTTTAAATGATATAACCTAGTATAAGATCGTTTCTCGGAATTTTTCTCTTTTTCGTTTAATGTCTTCTTCTTTAATATTGGCTGTAATGAACGAAGTTTGTGAATTATAATTCGCTAGTTTATAAAATTCATCAAAAATATTCAAGTGACATATTGCTACTTGTTTCGTTGAATATCTAATCGGAACTAGGAGTTTAGGTCCTTTCTGATTTATCCTGCATCTGCAATGATCCACATCCAATGCAAGGTATTTTTTCAAGATAATACACATCTGATGCTTGGTTCTGTTCAGAAACATGACTCGATAGTACTTATTTGTCGTATAGTGCCATACACTCATTTTCACAAAAATGTCGCTTGGTTCCTTTCTGATAAGCATTAACCAAATATGAAAATACTACAACGTGAAATTCAAATTTTCACTTCGCAAGTAAGAAACCCTGTATATATTTGCATTGTTTCTAATCTTTTCATCATTCAACTACGTGGTTCATTATTATTAGTGTTTTTGTAGTGTATCCTCAGATTTATATAGGTACTACAGGTAACCATAATCCAGACTACCTCCAAAAATATTACCTAAACCTGCTCTACCTGAGGTACCTCTCCAATTATGATCACCTGAAGCATATTACCTCACATCTACATCAATAATAATTCTTTATCGGTTTTTTAAGGAAACAAGTTCGATAATGATGATCTATTCCAATATAGATGGTCATTCATTAGAATGTTTGTTCGTTAAAGATATGATTTTCTTCTAGAAGATGATTTGAATATGTTGAATTTGTTTTCTCATTTACACAATGCATATGATGTTCCTGGATTCAATGCCTGAATGTTCTGGCAGTTTGACCAACATATACCTTAGGACACATTCCACACTTCAATTTATATACTCCGGATTTCTCAAATTTGTATGTTTTGTCTTTATTATTTTTAATTAACTTTCCCAACGTATTACTTGTTCTATATGCAATTTTAATATCTCGTTTCCTCAAAAATGAAGCCACTTTTTCCGTTGTTTGTCCAAAATACGTTAAAGCTCTATAATTTTGATTATATACCTTATCAATAGGAATCAGAAAAAAAATGCATAACGATCTAAAATGGTGCGATTATTATAACCATCATTACCAAAATCGTATAAAAACTTTCATACTACTCAAGATCAAACAAATAGATGTGAAGATTCTCTAATGACAAATATATGAACAATATTGCTATGTTTATATGATCGACTAACATTTTTGCAACGACTGATAGATTTCATCTGGATAGAATGTTTCAATAGATATATTACATTACTCTCATTTCAAATTTAAAAAAACTATATTATCAACTTCAACATGACTAAGACGTCTAAGCACTCTGTTGTTTCGGTAATTTTTGTAGACCAACTGAAATATTTCTGACGGTGCTGTAAAATGGTGTCAATTGTCAATAATTCAATTTATTTCTGTCAACAATTGATCTTTATAAATGACATTGCTAATGCTATTATATTTTTTCCAGGAAGAGATGATTGCAAAAAACGCATGAGTTGTGTTGACGTACGTTGAATTATATAAATACGCTTTGATCTTCGCTTTTGATCTCGTCTCAAAATATTCTGATAATATTGAGATGCAGTTACAGGAGTTTATAGATACCCAACTGAAATATGAGAACACACCATGAAATAGCAGAAAGGACCTACATGACGTGTGTAGATTTCATTATTTCAGCTCCAGTTATCACTAAATTCCAAAGAAGACATGCTATCTCCAGTACAATCTACTTTGAAATTTCATATGCAGGATCTAACAAAAATGTAGCATGGCAAGTGAAATATTCGAATTCAAAACAAATGGTTAACAGAAAACATAAATCAATAGCAGCACTTTCAGACTGAAACTTTCGTAAATATACAGAGTGTTTCCTAACTACGGTACTAAACTTCAGAGGGTTATTCGTTAGGTCGTTCCTATGAACATATGTCCGCAGTTGCTTCGTTTCTGAGATACAGTTGTATTTCCAGTTGGTTGATCTAAGAAATGAAAAACTACAACATGTCAGTGGCGTACTTTTTTTCCCAATATTGTTGAGTGTGGTGCCCACAGAGACTCTACTGGACCTAATAATTCCAATTTAGCTTGGGCTGAATAAGCNTCAAATGTTGTACACTCAAGAATTTTTTCAAATATTAAAATGTTGGCAGGAGGGTCTTCAATTTTTTCAGCAAATAATTGATTTGATGATCCCATCTCAATTTTTCGTGTGCTGCAAAATCAACAAAATCCATTTTTCTACATATCCTTCTGAATGCGATGAATTAGAAACTAGATTATAGAGTAAGTACATTTCTCCTTCTATCTGAAAGAAAGGTATTCTGATTCTCTGCAAAACATTCCCATGTTTCAAATTTTATACATTTTTCATAAATATTTCCACTTACTTCAGAATATCCGGGATATATACATGTACAAAATAATATTATTATTTTGAAGTAACAATGCAAAGTCTACTTGGTGTGACGGCGCAGATATATCTTATATCACTGATAATGGAAAATAATTATATTCGTTCAATTTACAAATATTTATATCAGAAATAAAATATTCGGAAATGTCATATAGTGAAATATAGAACTGTTATAAGTGGATTCCTTATCCAAAGTTAATATCTGCCGCAATTCAAAGTTTGTATTCAACCAGTACTTGATATTTGTCTACTTATTTTCAAGGTGTACTCATATTTAGGTAATGACCAATAGTGACCGACATCTAAAATATACCAAGCATTTTTTCTACCTGGTAATCCAAAATTGAGAACCCCAGCCCATGATCGTTTTTCACCAACTCTACAATCGTGGGTTCGTCACTCCACATTGGCAACCCTGCAATCATCTCCAAGGACCTCGATCTGCTGATAGCTTCACTGGCCATGCTAGAAGCAATGGACGTTTCTGATTTTGCCTTCACTAGGTGATTGCTTTCGTTGATCGATACCAAAGTTTGCAGGCTACCCGCAAAAATTTTCTGAAAAGAGAAATATCTCTATAACAAAATCAGAAATGAAAGAACAGAAAACAATATCTTCCCCAAAATGTTCATTCCCCAATCTAATATAGCTACTGCTTCTTCAACACTTTTACTCATATTCAATATTCATTGGTCAGTATGGAAACAAAATGAATATGTACTGCGAGTATTAACCGAATATTCGATAATTTTATCCAGAATATAAAAGAAGCCAAGTTCACTTCTGATCAATATTGCGTCCGAAATGATCATTAGACTATTCAATAATATTTCTTTAAATCAAATGCGTCAACTGTCCTTCAGATAACTTTTGAGCAATTTCTAAATCAACTTTCATGATTTTTTATTTGTTGAATTTGTCTCTGCCAGAAAAAAAAACAAAATAAGCTTGAAGCATTTGGAAAATTAGGGAAAATTGATATGTAAAACAAAGTCACAAAATCGTGCTGATCACACAATTCTCATATTTTGTTTTGTTGGATTTGTCTTCATCCGGAATAGCAGAAAAACTAACGACTCTTTTGAAACATTTTCAGAAAAAGATTCAGGCACAAAGAAATTGACAACTTTTGGTTTTCCAGTTATGACAGTTGTAATTGTGGCCGCATGCAATATCCATCACGCTGTCATTAACAATGCCGCGAGCGAGAACATGGAATCTTCCAGAACGAAGTCGTAATTTAATTAGGCTGCGGAATATTGCGAATCAATCCATTGCAGGTGAAGTAGAAATCGCACGAGAGGGGCGCCGTGTTCAGTGCTGCCAGGTCTACCTTTTTGGCAATAGATTTCCTGCTTTGGCTTTTGAACTACTGTTTGAGAGTTGAAATATACTGACTCACTTCACTTTCTAATGATTTCCAAATGACTGTGAAAATATAGTGTATGTGATTTATATCTGCAAAACATATTTTCTCCTTTTTTCGTGTCGATCTACATTTTTTTTGACTCAAAATCTACTGCTGAGCACGAAAATGACCCGGCAACACTGACCATGTTATTATGGCCTGATTACGTGCTCCACAAGCACATTCTGTAAATGTCAATTCAATTCAGGTCACGATATGTCTGACCCGTATTAGGAATCACACGTTAAAAGGTAAGACCTCGTTAGTCCTTAGCTCGCACAAGTTTCTCAACTTCTGAGAGCTGTCATTCGTATAGGGGCGACAGCTGATTAACGGAAAAACAGATTTTAAATAGATTCAAACAGATTTCATCAAAGCAAAAATTTATTTATGATCTGATGATTATCCTCTAAAAGTCCTTCGACTTTACGTTTGTTTCTACATATTCCTAAAAAAACCTTACTTACCTTCTTTGTCGTTGCAATTGTTTGCGCTCTGAGTCAATAAATTACATTTTTTTACAGGACATTCCTAATCCCATGAGCTATCGTTCATATTTTTAGAAGCTTCACGTCTATTGAAAACAAACTCGTTTCCATCAGCTCACCATTTATATGCATTAGGCGATATATGAAAATGCAACAATACTTTAGGAATCAACTGAAAGGCATCAAGATGAAGGTGATGAAAGGAAAGGAAAGCTGAACTTTGTTAATATATTTGAAACTTCGATCCTTTCTAGATTTTGTTTCTTCCCATACCACAAAACAAAGAACTGGCCAATGGAATTCGTCACATTGCTTGAATTATTTCACAAGAGAGAAAACTCTGGATGGAGACTAAAAACCAATGTGTTCGAGGTGCAAGAAAAAAAGAAAATGTACAAAGTCCCTATCAATCTATAAGTTTCCCCGTATTTTAGTAATTCATTTAAAAAGATTCCCTCCAACGGAAATATTCAGAGGCAAATTGACTTTTACATCAGATGGATTAGTTATGAGCAATTATGCAGCAGACAATCTGGCTCCTTGTCGTTATAATCTATATGCACTTTCGAATAACAGTGAGACTACTTTTAACGGATATTACACAGCATATTGCAGATACCCTTATAGTGGCACGTAGCACGAATGCAACGATTCACACGTGTCCCCAATTTCACCAAAATCGCTTGTGAGTGATGAGGCATATGAACAGGAGGAAACAAAGCAGCACCTTTGAGGTGATTTTTTTCTTTTCCCTTTTTTTATAAACCTAATTCTGTGAATTGATTTGTATTTCATGATTGTTTCAAATAATGGATAAAGGAATTAATTTCTTTGAAATTTGTTTCAGATTGGAAACTTGGCAACAATGACACTAATATGTCAACTACTTCATTTCATATATCACATTCCTACTATAACGAGTTGTTGAAAAGTAACAATGTTTTTATAGTTTGGGTATTGCGTTTACTAAAAGATGAAATATACTCACACTTTAATGTATATTTTGAACGCAGCCACAACAAAGTGATTGTCACACACATCCGCAATTATACTGATTCGCGAGTACGTAAACCTAGGTAAATGTTTCAGTAACATTCCCAATTGTGTTTAAATATTTCGCGCGCTTCATGTCTTCTTTGACACTAAAACCAAACATACCACTCTGGCAGCAAATGTCAACAAGACCATATATCAACCGAAAATTTCTCATACGCTTGGCAAACAGTTGGCATAACTACATATTCCCACCTCGATTTCCCTACGGGTCGAGTGACATGTCAATTCATCAGAACCTCATCGTAACTTCCGATGAGTTCCGGACTCCATTAATAATCGCTGTCCGCGATTCCCACATCCGGTTGAGAATGTAATCAGTTTGCTTTTGTTAGGACGGGTCAAATAATCTCCCAAGTTGATACTTACCCTCGTTTGGAAGGCTTCTCGATGTTGAGACGTATCAATTATTCTAATAGGAACGGGATACCGGGCGCAAACAATGTTGACGACATTCGGCAGTTGCTTCAATATTGACACCACCTCGAGATGATTCAATCCCAGAAGTTGGATGCCGTTCACCTGAAATAGAGAACATTTCAGAATTATCAAACAAACTTCTTAGACTATTTTGGAAATATAAAATATATATTAGTTTTCCAAAAATGAGCTGGTTTTGCCGCGTTATTGGTCGATTTCTAATCCCCATCCTAAATGAGCGCTGTTTTCCATTCGAAGCAAAACTGTAACACTCTTCTCGATGCGCGTCTCATAACCAAATTGGCATCAACAAGAGATGAACTGGACTAATCGTCATTTTACGAGGGTGGTCTGAACAATTGCCGACCTCAACATAAAGATAGCGGCAACCGTTAATAAAAGCTGGTGAATTTCGTTGTTCATCTATTGACAGTTTGTCACTAAAGATTCAGCCATTTTGAACGCGCAGTTGTCATGAAAAAGTCGTTTGAGTGAGTTGATGCGAGTGTTTTTATACTACTGGGAAAAGTCGAGTATCGAGTTTTCATTAAATATTTTTTTTGTATAGGGACTCTTGTACTATCACTTACCACAGTAAAATTTCGGGCAGCTGAATTTAAACGTGGCCGTAAGAGCTTGGGAGACAATGAATGTTTGGGACGTCCAAAAACTGCATCTACCGACGATAACATCGCCAAACATTAGCCGGGGAAGTAATTGCTGTATAGGTAGTTGGGAGAGATTATTGTTTCGAAATTAATTTTGATCGCCAAAGTTCACCAAAATGAAGTGAGAGAGCAGAGATCATGAACATATTTGTTACAATTTAAATCAACATTTAGGCATGGGGCGAGTTGGGTTCTGCGTTTGCTCACGTTAAACCAAAAACGTGTTCGAATAAACGTTTCCAACGCTCTGTTGGCGCAGTTCAGGCGCAATGAATTCGAGTTTTGTCGCCGAGTGATTACTGTACATGAAACTTGGATATACCATTATTCGCCCGAAACATAAATAGAGTCCAAACAGTGGACTGCAAAGGGGGAACCGGCCCAAAAAAAGCAAAAACTGTTTTTTCAGCTAAGAAAGTGAAGGCGACTGTTTTTTGGGGATGTTCATTAAGTTATTTCAATCTATTATCGTCAAAAAGAAAAAAAAATACAGGAGCATCATCATTTGACATGCTGATGGCAGAACTTGCGGTGAAATGGCCATATTCGCAGAAAAAAATCCTGTTTTACCAAGACAACGCGCCGTCTCACATCTCAGCGGTTGTCATAGCGAAAATCGGTTTGAACTGCTTGACAATCTGCCTTACTCGCCAGATCTAGCGCCAAGCGACCTTTTTTTGGAGATAGACTTTCGTCAAATGAAGAGGCAATCACCTTCGTGGACAATTCTTTTGTAGAAAAAAAACCGAGTACTATTTGGACGGTTTACAGAGATGGGAGCATCGCTAGGAGAAGTGTGTAGAGTTGAAAAGAGAAGAAAACTCCAAAAAAATGCGAAAAAATGTCTTGTATCTTCGATAAGTCGAAAACTGTTCAGATCACCCTCGTATATTTGGCTGGAAGAAGTGAGTTCGAACTGTTTGAGTGTGATTTTTTTTTATTTCTATAGTACTTTGAGACACCTGTTGATACCGTGAAGTCATTCATCTTCTAAGTCACCAAGTAGAGCCGCTTTCATCTCCCCTGTAAATTGGTGAAAACTATTCTGATAATCTGAAGTTGCTTAAAAGACACAATGCCCTTCATTCTGAAAAATGTTTTCACTATTTCCATTCTAGGTGCTCGCTGGACATCTGTATGCATTTTCACAAAAATTTATGAAATGTTCCTATTTAGTCTTCCCGACGAACTTGTGAGCCTTTTTTTGAAGTCATTTGCGATGAACAGGCGATCGCGAAAAAATAGAGAACACCTACGAGGACACTATTTCTTCACAACAACATTGGTCTTGGAGACTTGCTGTCAATCAGGTTGAACTTCGTAGTTGAGTCATCTCCGAACCTGTTTCAGTTCATCATATTTCTTCTGATTTTGTTATATATCATGAACGAATCATAGGTCTGGTTTCTCTGAATCCAGTCATCCAGTTAGTGTACTTGTCGCTTGAGAAATTTACTTAGTACTGCTTTTCGATCTTGTAACGTTGGTATCAATATTGATTACACAAATCGGATTCTACAATACATCAATCTTCAGCTCTTGACCATCTAGTTTTCTTCAGAAACAAGGCATAAACGTAGCGTTCAAGACGAGTACCTAACGATTTTCAGTTTTGTTGAAAATTAATTATTCTGAGTCAGCATGGGACAAATCAAAAAAATCTGGAGTCTACACGCTCAAGTACCTTATATATAGGATAGACGGACCGCAGTTTCAACCAGATATTTGAGGGGCATCTCATAGAAAACACCCACTATTCTACACATTCAACCAAAAAGTCTGAAAATAAACATATTATAATCCATAACAATCAAAGAACATCTTGCTAATAAAAACAACATTGTTCTGAATGATAAGATAGATATTTATAATTCTCCAATCATCAATAATGTCATTAGTAATTTCTCAAATGCCCCTTGATACCTTTCTCTACCTACCAATGCAACTTTTAGTATTTAAGGAGATGACATCATATACCTAGGTTAGTTGATAACTTGCTCAGAAAATGACACATGAGCCGAAACACCAGCTGGCATTAAATGTTAGTGTTATGTTAATTGTGAAGTATTGTTTTCACCCTACCCATTCAATTAACTTGACTATATCATTAGCAGACCTTCTCTGTGCTTTTTCATCATAAAATTTTTGTATTTTTTTACTCCTCTGTTTCATTTTTTCCACGTATCTTGTTCCACGTCCCTTATAGTGTCATGGCTTCAGTTCTTTCCTTTTGTCTTCTTAATCTTCAGGTTCTAATGTTCCGTTTCATCATTTCGTTTTCTATCCCTTCTTCATTTTACCGTTTTCTTTATTTTTTGTCAATTCTATGATTTGTTTCCTCTCTTGTTCCTCTATTACGTCTTTACTAAAATACAAACAGATATACGTCGCCGGTTTGCTTGGAAAAAACTTTTTATAAATAACTCATTCGACCCAGGAACAGAAGGTAAAAGACTATAGACAACAACGCGTGTTTCCTGAATGGGCTCTAGAGCAGTTGGTAACTGACCTTAATTGTCATCGAAAAATCATCTTCAGAGATGAGGCCCATTTTCGGATGAACGGGTACGTGAGCAAACAAAATTGTCAAATTTGGGACGATACCAATCTACATGAGATCCAAGAGCGTCAATGCATCCCGGAAAAGTTACTGTTCGGTGTGGATTTTGGGCTGGCGGCGTCATCGGTCCATACTTCTTCAAGAACAACGTTGTACCGGTCATCACTGTAAACGACGAGCACTATGGGTCGATGATTACCAACTTATTTTGGCTTAAAATGGATGATCTGGACAGCAACAACATGTACTTTCAACAGGACGGCGCTACGGGCCACACAGTTCATGCCACATTGGATACTCTGCACGAGTGATTAGAGGGCATGGTCATCTCACGTGGAGGTGATGTGAACTGGCCACCAAGATCGTACGTTTGACCCGGTCACACTCTTTCTTGTGGGGTTTCCTTAGGTAGCAGGTGTATGTGAATGAGCTACAAACCACAGCGGTCCTCAAAGCCAACATAATTCATGCCATTGGTCTAATTCAGCCTGATTTATGAGCCAGATGTTTCGGATGCATTCCACCCAGAGAAGCCGTAGTGAACATTTGAACGATGTTATATTCTACAGATAATGGCATCAATAGGTATTTCAAACGAATAAAAAATGTTGATGATATTTCACATTTCGGCAATTTATTTCATTTTCAATTTATTTCATTCTTTCAGGGATTTCAAATCATTTTATATTATATTAGACAATGGAAGGCCGAGCAAATGAAATTCACACTTTGTTCTATTTAAATTCAAAGATAGGAAGCGCTCAATGAAAGATCGTATAGTAGTTGATGTTCTTAACACAAAAACATTGTTGCTAAGAATTTATTCGTGATGGACAAACTAACCTCTAATAATTCATCACCAGATTGAAGAACTCCATTCCTACCAACAGGACCGTCTGGTAGGATATTTCGAATGTAATGATGTGGTCTCACTTCCTTTCCAGCTTCCACATCTACTGTTCCTTCTAAGCTGATTCCCAAACCATTAGTCGTTCCTTTCTGCATTTGAGCAATCTGAAATAAGACGAAGAAAATTATTCTTTCAAATTTATTTTTTTCATTGTATGTTTTGGAGAAGCAGAACTTTTGAGAGAATATAAAAGCATTGGAATGAAATCCGAGAAAAATGAAGTGACAAAAAAGATACAATTTCATCATTAATTCAGTGAAAATTTTTATTTGGATAGGAGTAAACTTGAACTGAAAGGGGTCCATATCCACCTCTGTCTATGAGATGGTTCAGGCCCTCAGAATTGCCAAACTTGAAAAATGAAAAATAAAATGTGAAAGAGAGATAGTGGTCTTATTATTTTTCAATGTGGAGATTGAGCATGAAGGAAAATAGCAGAAAACTGCTAAGCAGAACTTTTTTGCCTTTCATACCATCTAGGCCTGAGACGTGTCTTGTTTGGCGAAAAGTTAACATATATTGTGTTTACATTGATATACACTTTTGTTATAATGTTATGAAGGTAATATTATGATAGAAAGAATACAAAATTTTTGTCTGGCCCAAATTCATTATCTGATAACTAGGTCTGTGAGGGCCAATAATAATACCAGTTATTTTTTTCTGTTGAAAATAAACGTTGCAGGTTCCTTCTACTCAACCATTATATAGACAGTGGGGGATTTCCGAAAAAAGAAAGAAAAGGAGTATAAACAATAAAAAACTTATCACAGAGATGTGTAGATCGTCACAGGAGTGTTACCCAGATACAAACTGAAACAAAAAATAGATACGGAACAACTACTTCCAAATATATGACCAATGAATTCCAAAAAACTGTATTTTCGTTATGTACTTCAAACATTCGTGAAAAAATTGATACAGATATCGAACGTGTTCGATATATGAAAGAGTATTTACGAGTACATAAAATTTCACTCACAAAAGAGCTCATAACTTAAGAGGAGAAGTTACAATTGGTGTTTCTGTTTTTGGGAATTTTTGAGAAGCAATGGTTTATACGCTTCGAGAACGGATTGAAATAGTGAGTTTGTACTACTAGAATGGACATAGTGCTAGAGCTGCTGCCCGTATGTTCAATAATAATCATCCAGGAAGAAATGTACGACACAAATACGTTTCGGAATTATTGAATAAACTTATGGAAACTGGATCTGTTAACAATAAAAAGCATAACCGTTCAGGAGTTGTCAACGATGAAGCTATTTGTACCGTAGTTTTAGGGCACGTTAGACTAATGGAAAGTTCGCAATATCTTACTAAGTTATCTCGAAAATCAGGAATTATTCGTACAAACGTTTTCAGGATCCTCTATGTAAGATTAGACTAGTTCATGAATTGAACGAAGAAGATTTCGAAAGACGATCGATCGAGCTGAACGGATCAACTTGCATCAGAATTTTTTGTATAAAATTTGTTTTTGGGATGAATGTACGTTTAGTTTGAATGGAGAGGTGAATCGGCAAAATTGTTGATATTGGACTGATACGAATCCTCATTTATACCGCCAAGTTCATACCCAACGACCTAAAAACTGAATGTTTGGGCAGGAATTTCAGGTGATCATGTCATAGGATCTTTTTATATCGATGATAATTTGACTAGTGATGAATATTTGGATATGTTGGAGAATCGAATAATACCTTGCATCAATAGAGCAATTGAGGAAGATATAAATTTATTCGAAAACGAAATAGTTTTTCAGCATGATGGTGCGTGCACCTCCTCATTATGAAGCTCCAGTGCAACAATTGTTGGATTATCACTTTGCTGGTCGCTGAATTGGTAGAAGAGGTCCTACAGAATAGCCACCAAGGTCTCTGGATCTCACTCATGTAGATTTCTTTCTATGAGGTAATTTGAAGTCTAAAGTGTATGAGATAGAATCAACAATATTAGAAGATTGGAGAGAGAATATCATGAGGCATTGCAGAGAAATAACTTCCGAGATTCTCAACCATGTGAGGGCAGCAATGAAAGCTCGTTTATACCACTATATGGAAGTTGGTGGAAACGTTTTTAAACATTAATATAGAAAATTGTTTTCTACTCGCTGTCCAATCATCAGATTTAAAATATGTTTTTCTGATTTATTGCTTTCATATTTGTCTTTAGAACGAATATGTTTTTTATTTTTCCTGAAAATCATTGTACCAAAAGTTATTCAGGGTGGCTTGTTTTAAATCTTTTTTAAATGGAATGCACTCTATAGCGAATAAAAATTTCCAGACAATTTTTTTTGGTTTGGTCATCTAACACATAGATGTCACTACTAGTATTGAACCGATATGATTTTTATTAAATCCTAACCTTCAAAAGGCACGTGTGTGAGTTTCTCAACTGTCGGATTATTTGTTTGTGAGATAGATCACTTTGAGTAAAACAACTTTAGTTAGTTTGAAAAATGGTCAAAAAGAAATTTCGTGTGTTAATAAAGCATCGTTTTCTGGCTAGAATGAATACTGTTGAAACTAAGGCGTGTCTCGATAAACATTATTCGGACTTTGCACCACGAAAATCAACCGTTGAGAAGTGGCTTGCTAAGTTTAAATGAGGTGAAATGAACACCGATGATGATACACGCAGTCGACGGCCCAAAGAGGCTGTTGCCGACGAAAACATAAGGCCACAAAATAATTTTGGATGACCCAAAAGTGGAATTGATCGAGATAGCTTAGGCTCTAGGATAGCTTGCTCACAATCTACCAAAACAACAACGAATTGATGATTCTGGGTAGTGTTTGAAGCTATTCCAGCATAAAAAAAACCCAAATTTATGCATCAATATGTAACAAGAGATGAAACATGGCTTCATGATTTCACACCAGAGTCAAAACGATCGTCATCTGTAGTCCAGTTCTCAGAGGATTTCACCTTACAATTTGTAGGGTAGAAGATTCAATTTTTTAAATTTATTTCAATGGGTATAAAGAGCAAAATATAAAAAATGTGACTAAATCTGGTCTCGGCACAACTTTTGGTAGCCGAAAAACCTCGAAATTTTCGCACATTTTTCGTTTTTTTCGCAATATCTCGAAAAGGATTGGTTCTAGCGAAAAACAGTCCCTATGTAAAGTTGAAGGGCATTAAAGTCTCTACAAATTTTATGAATAATGTTTTCTTCTACAACAAATAGGGAGCAAGCTACAGCTTCTCAAAGATTGACAATTTTTCTCAAAATGGTAAAAAAGCCAAATAGCGCCTTCTTTTGTGTGTGTGTGTTATTGCGACCCATGCATTCTTTGGTTGTATTTTCGAATTATATTTTGGTCCGATAAGGTTCTTGAGACCGCCCCCATCACCAACCTCCCCCCCAAATTGATAACTGACCAGGAATGAGTAGGCATATCGAAATCCTCACAGTCCAATGCAATCTGGGGAAAAGCACTTCAACCTATTTGCCAAGCTTTTGCATTGTTTTGAAGCTTCATCAGGGCCTAAAGTCTATACAGTGAAACAAAACTATGGTGAATGAAATGAAAAGAGTTTTCTTTCCACAAAATGGTGCTTAGCAGAAAATTCGAAATAGGCGTTATTGTTATAAAAATGAAACAAAATGATCTAGAATTTTTCTGGGAGACCCTCCATTACAAAATTAATCACCAACTGTAGGAATAAAGGAGACAAGAGAGTGAGAAAACATGTATATGGAAAAACTTTTATTAAACACGGGAAGTATTTAATTACAATTAAATCATTGAAAAATTGACCAATGAAAAGAGAAGTTAACCTTTCACTTCACTTCCTTCTTAGGCGTTTCGACGGTCCTGGTTCCTCACTAACAGGTACCATGATGGGTGAGTCCTCGTAAACCTCATCTATGGTTGATAAGATGAATGTATCTTCCTCTTCCTCACCATCTGTGTCCAGGTCGGAGGAGTACAGTGGGACATTGTCACAGTCGGTGCCTATGCATTTCTTGCAGATGCTGGAGCATTTAAACCCGGCTTTGACGCACGAGCAGGCTCGCTGACATCCAGATCTGCAAGTGCACGAGACACTTTCAAGTAGGCTTTTGGGTGCTGGGTCCTTCGTTGCATGCTGTGGAATCAGGCCCTGTAGACTGCTGGTCCACCCATAATGTTTGGGGTTCAAGTGTGTGGCACCCAGCCAATTTTGAATTTGATAAAACGATCTTAGTGAGTGTAGAGCAGCAGCATCAGAACTGAGTGGCAACCGAGCAAGATTAACTTTACCTGCAGACACAGACTTTTCAAAAAGATCGTATCGTATGTCGTCCAAGGTTTCGAGTCCAATGAACGTCTCCTATTGGTACAATGCTTTGAACACAAGCTCTCCAGCTTTAAAAACACCATTCAATCTGTAAAGTGACTTGAACCCTCCCTATTCATGATGGAAATAACATAAATCCTCGTATACAAAGTGACTATTGCATAGGTTAGGATGACGTAGCACCATATTCAATTACCACTATAGGCCATTATCTTGATATTAGGTAATTCCTATATTCTCAAAACCAAATGGAATCCATGGAAACATGGAGTCAACACTTATTCATATTTTTTAAGCGTTTTCAATGATCTTCAGAAAATTAGGGGGTTTCAGCCTATTCATGCCAACCAAGAAAACTGTTTTCTTCATCTCCTGAAGACGCCAAATTGTTGCAGTTCTGGTGATTGGGAAGAAGTGAGAGAGCAGNATTGAAATTGGTAGATTAACATCACATAAAAGTGATATAAAACTTAATAGGAAATCAATGGCATTAGCCCAACACTTTAAAGAAACAGGACATGAACCAAATTACCCTAATATCAAAATTATACGTACAGAAAACAACAATTCCAAACGTTTTCTTCTTGAAATAGTCGAAATCAATATGTCTTCTGATTGTATGAATAAAAAAATTGGAACCACACCAAAAACGTAATAATGATGAAAATCGTATTAATCAATACTACTTACTCTCTTCTTTATAGTTGATGATTATCCTATCAAATCATCATGCTCATGAAAAATGACATTTATGTGAAGGCATGACTTTTGTCAAACAAAACCATTCCTATACCTACCTGTCGCTTCTTGT